AATCAACGAGTTCTCATTGTCTGCGATTCCGATGAAACATTGATAGAATTGTTGAAGTGAATCAATGGCACTGTGTTCAATTCAGATGTAATCACTCTGGAGTTGCAGATAAAATGTGCAGAAATATTTTAGGATATACTTTGAGAATGTGTATTATAAATGACATCATCGAGTTAAATTGATTTTTAAAAATGGTCAATATGAATTATTATTAATGGAAAAGTTGATTAAACGTACCTGATGGAAATCAAAAGTTATACGCAGAGAAGTGAAAAATGTTCTAATTCCCTTAGATCTAAGGTAATGAACTAAAAAAAATAATTAAGCCCTCATTTCAACTACGAATTATTCAAAATTTCAATATCCAAGTGTATATAACAGTTTTTACTAGACTTAAGTAAATTATCTAATTTTTACAAATGTAAAAATATTATAATGTCCGAAATAAAAATTAAAAGTTATTTGCAGAAAAGTAAAAAATGGTGTAAATCCATATAATACAAATTACCATAATACTGAAGTCCGCATTTCAACTATGGTTTATACAAAATTTTTATATTGAAGTGTATATAAAAGCTCTTGCTAGATTTTAGATAATTGCATCTAGTTTTTGTAAATGTAAAACAATTATAAAGTCCAAAACAATAATTCAAATTATTTTTTAAAAAAAATTATAAAAAAAATGTTCTAATTCTATATAATGCTAATTATCAAAATACTAAAGTCTGCATTTCAACTATCAATTATTCAAAATTTCAATATCCAAGTGTAATTAACTGTTTTTACTAGATTTAAGTAAATTTTATCTAGTTTTCGAAAAAGTAAAAAAATTATAACATCCGGAGTGAAAATCAAAAGTTTGTTGCAGAAAAGCAAAAAATGGTCTAAATGCATATAATGCTAATTATTAAAACAATAATGTCCGTAATTCAACTCCGAATTATTCAAAATTTCAATATCGAGGTGTGTTCTATAACTAAAAAACTAAAACTTCTATAGTTTTTACCAGATTTTAGTCAATTTTATCTAGTTTTCACAAATGTATATAAAACTAAGTGGCCAGAGCAATAATTCCAAGGTATTTAAAAATAATAAAAAAAATAATTTCTGTATGTACGTTCTGAGTATCGCTTTGATTTCATTGTTCTAAATACATAAATAATTTGAGTAACAATAGTTTTTTTAACTACTATCATTAACAAACTTGTCAACAGATTTCTAACCATAAATTTGATGCAGGTAATAAATTTATCAGTAGAAATAATCACACATTAGAATTGCATAAAATCGATTTTGTTTTATCACACGACATGATCGTGAAATGTTCTAAATTCGATAAAAAAACAGTATAGTAAAACATTGAATTGTATAAAACATAAATCCTAATTTGAATAATAATACCCAAATATTGATTGCATTACTTAATCTGATTTCACATGCCACATATTTGAGTTAATATACAGCAGTGATATTTTTTACTTTCATTATAAAATATAAAGCTTGTAATTTTATTTATATCGTAACCTGTACTAAGGATAAATTATTAGGTAATACGTTGAACAAACGAGTTTTTAAATATCAAATGAAGTTTATAAAGTTATAAAATACTATAACTTTGAAGACAGCAAACATAATTGCATCTGGGATCGATAATATATACCTACTTTATTAAATTATATGTTAAGATCTATTCAGGTACGTTATTATTTGCACCACATTTTCAAAAACATAAGTATTGAAAAAAAAGTTCAATATAATGCTAATAAAAACATCAGTTTTTTTTAAATAAATTATAAGTATATTATCTGATCAATATAAAGTTCTGCACTACTTCTTCACAGTTTTAATCCATGTCAACGATATCTCAGAAATTGCGAATCCTCTGTATGTATGTCAAATTATTCAGAGTACTCGGCAATACATGCTTATTGAATAATCCGCCAATATTATTTACGTATAATAAATCCATTAAGAAACGGTATTCGGAATTTCTCTTCTCGAAAGACATAGAATATTGGTGGAAGACAAGAAATTCAATCTCGTTATTCTGAATTCGAACACGATTCATATTCGATGTATAATAAAGATATCACAACTGAGTCTTGTAGTTTCACCGCTGCCACCAAATAATGGTGGCACGTGCACTAATTGGGCGCCAAAACCATTTTCTAGAAGATTATTAAATAGAGATCAAAATTTACTTGTATTGTTTTATTCAATTCAATTTCTTTGCCAACATTTGCAATATAATTGATTCCTATATTGGTTATAAAAATATTAGTGCAGTTGGTTATTAAAATATTATTATCAATTAATACAAATATATATCGACCACTTCGATCAGAAACAGGCAGACAGGCACTTTTCCTAAATTGTATTGCTATATTTGTCATTTTGCCAAAATATTATAGTTTTTCCACAATGAACTTTTAGTCCTTATGTTATTTCGTCCACGATCATTTTGACTGACATTCGGAAGGGTGGACAGACAAAGTATTTTTGACAAAAAAACTTCGATGGGTAGTTTGAAGGTATCGATCCCATACGAATGTTTGGAACTTTAAATTGTATCTTGTAAGAGAAATGAATTTGATATTTCAGAGATTTTACGTTATATATCATAATAAAAGTCAGATATAAGTATAATCAGTTACAATAATTTGAAGAAATTATTATAAGTATATAATTATCTAATAAGTGGCAAGATCAAAGTAATAAATTGCAAATGTTTGCCATAATTTTTAAAATTGAGCCGAGAAATTTCGAATAGATTTGTAACAATATCAAATCAGCAGCATTATTATCATATTTAAATTTATCAAAAAATATTTAGAATTTAATATACACATTGAATTACCTTAATCTAGACTTAACCCTCAGACGAAGCTTTTTTCATGCACTCTATGGAACACTATCCATGGAGTGCATGAAAGCTTCGTCTGAGGGTTAGTCTAGATTCAATGTAGAGGTAGTTTTTATCAAAGCTTCGTCCAAAGGTTAAGTTCCAAGACAATCTGGAGTTGAACTGTGAATACTTGAACTGACAAATGTAATCTAGTAATTCGGCTGCAACAAGGATACAAAAGTTATATCGAAACAAACAACGTTTGACGACAAAACGGACAGAGTCCGTTGTCTTCTATTTAGAAATTCCGCCAACGAAGCCCGAGGACGATCCATAACCGAGGGACATGCCGCACAGATAGCGGTTTCGATGATGATTTCTATTCGAAGACTAGTGAGGTGAATAATCGATAGATGATCGATATTATAAAAGAATTATAACACCACAAATGCGGAGTTGGGAGCCAGAGTGGGCCGTGCCAAATATAGCTAAACGCATTTAAATCGTGTCGAAAAATTTGGTATGTTTTAAATAGGTTTTTATGAAACGTGGAGCAATTTTAGAGCCAGATCAAATTTATTGCTACCATTTAATGACATATATAAATTTTATGTTTATTCTAGATTTGCAACATAATTTAGTGAGAAACATCGTATCCTCATCGTATCTCACGTTAGCCCGATTTGTAAAATATATGTAGATTAAGTTCCTGACAAGTGTCACTCAACATTTATTCCTAAACTGTCTTTTATTCCTACTACTACTATTTCCCTATAAAATCAGCTAGTTGTCTTATTGGAGTAATACTCAAAACCTAACTCATACATTGTTCATCAGCTGTTCTACTTCATCATCTAGAGCACTGTGATGAAAAACAGGACACCATATCATTATTATTATAGTAACTCTTTAGTAGATTATTACTTTAACATAATCATTTATATTCACAAATTCCATCTTCTATAATTATTAACATTACTAGCTCAGAAAGTGGTACATCATAAAATATAGAATTCAACGTTGATTGGCGTTAGATGTTTGGAGTTCATCTTTGGTGTTGTATATCCAGGAGTAAAGGAATAGATTCTAGGTATTTATCTATTACGATGTGCAGAGTGTTCGATACAAATGGTTTCGATATCTTAGTGACACCATATCAGCAATTTCTGTATTTAGCAAACGACCGCAAGCGCACAGAATTTACAGTGTTTCATTATTCACAATTCGCCCGCACTCGATCATCACAGATCGCGATTTGCAAGACGATACGTGTTAAGAGTCACGCATACACTTTTTGTTTCCTATTTTTTTTATTTTTTCTCAAATTTTTATAAATGTAAAATATTTACGAAAATAGAAATAATTTTATGTAGTAATATGAAAAAAAAATGTATTGAAAACGTTCGCCAATATAACAACAGTTGCAAAACTGTTTGAAAATATTTAAATTGTCCAGATTCAAGTAACGTATTTCAAATACAATAATTTTTACATAAAATTTATAGTGTTTGATAAAAATGAAGACAAAGAAGGAGCAACAGACAACTTTGGTTACGTTAACAAGTTCGTAAAAAAAATTTACTATTATTAATTGAAAATACTTAACTTGTTCACGTTCCAAATATAAGTTTTCTTTAAAAAAAGCTCATCGTGGTTCGATAAAAATGAGAAAAAAACAAGTACATAAATTTGGGTTTCTTGAATTATCAACAAGTCCCTAAAAACAAGGAAGTGATGCATATTTGCAACTTCATTAACGTTCTCAATTAGGATTAATCAATGTTCACATATAAAATGGGCTATTTCTAACTATTCTAAGAAGAATGATTAAAACCCACCAAGCAGTAGATGAACTCCAAGATTAGAAGTGATAAATTACAAACTGTTCCAATCCAATCCAAACAATAGAGGTATTAAATAAATACGTACTACTGAAGTCTCAAGGGATGAAAGCACATTTGGTAAAAAAATTTGTAATTTATTTCTTAACATAGAAAAGTTTTGCATCCTCAGAAAGGCAACTAATGACCGTATAAAAAACATATATCATCAATTATTATAAGTTTTGAAATATCACTAAAATCCAACTTAGCAATAGTAAGTCTAATTTAGTATAAGCCTAATATGGTTAAGTAATATAAGGTTGAATATTTACCCAATACTGTGTTCTCTGGGGCAATACTTCGAATTGGAGCTTTTTGAAGCGCATCTGAAACTATGAAATTCAAATTCAACATAGAAATTTAAAAATATTATATTTTTACATTCAACTACTATGATAATCATAAGAAAACTTGGTCAAGATTGAAATACCGATGATCGTGATAATTTATCCGAAATATGAGAAACTAAAAATCGAATTTATGGACAAAAATCTTAGTAAAAATGCTAGAGTTGTTAATTTAAAAAATCGGAATGATTCATTTTTGACCACAACCACCAAAGTTTCTACGAGGAAATAGGTAATTTGAAAAATCTTTCTCCAATCAAATTTTATTTAATATTTCTCACCTCTCCTATTTTTAACTTCCCGTAGGGTAAGTTATTGTAATGGGCCGAAAATCGGAATTGAAAATTTTTACATTTCTCGACGTTTTGAAGGTTTCTGAACGTTTTGGCATACCTCAGAAAAAATGGATGTGTGTGTGTGTGTGTGTGTGTGTGTGTGTGTGTGTGTGTGTGTATGTATGTATGGATACAAATTTTCGTCCACGTTTTCGGGCGTACGGATCAACCGATTTGAATGGTTTAAAAAACATTCGATTCCTATTAATAAGGAGAAGAGCTGATTAGTTTTTGGCAAAGACAGGTCGAGCAGTTACGGAGATAAGGAGCAAAGAGTGCAGAAAATAGAAATCGAGTTTTTGAGAGAACGGAGCATCCGATTTGAATGATCTAAAAAACATTCCATTAGTAATGATTTGGAGAAAGGGTTATTAGTTTTTCGCAAAGGCAGGCCCAGCCATTCGGAGATACAGAGCTAAATGTACAAAAAATGGCAGTTTTGGGAGAACTAAGCGTCCGATTCAATTGATTCAAAGAACTTTCTGCTTGTCTTAACAAAATAATTAATTTTGGAAAAAAAAAAATTGTACCATTTTTTTTTTTTTTTTTTTTTTTTTTTTTTTTAATTTTTTGTATATCGAAAATAATTCAGATTTTATTTTTAATTCTGACTATAGTTCTAATATACTTTAAACAAATAATTTCAATTCTGCAATTCAGTTTATATAATTATTATAAATATTAGACAATAATACAATATTTATAATAATCTATTTGAAAACATTCAATATTCCTCGAACGTTTCGTTACGGTACGGGAAGTTCCAGCAATTTGCCTTAAGGCACGATGCCACCCACCCCACTAGTTGTTTTTTCAAATACATTTATGAAAGTAATATTTTTGCTAATTCTAATTTAAAAGATGGAAGAATCAATAACTACAAAAGTCAGAGAACCAGGCTGTATAAAAAATAAAGAATTCAATAAACAAATTAGCACATGAGATGCCTAAAAAAAGGTCTTGATGGCACATTTTATCCAATATTTATGAAAGTAATATTTTGCTAGTTCTAATTTAAAAGTTGGAAGAATCAATAACCATAAATGTCGAAGAACCAGGCTGTAGAAAAAATAAAGAATCCAAAAAACAAATTAGGAAATTAAATGCCTAAAAAAAGGTCTTGATGGCACATTTTATCCAATATTTATGAAAGTAATATTTTGCTAGCTCTAATCTAAAAGTTGGAAGAATCTACGACCACAAAAAGTCGAAGAACAGGTTGTAAGAAAAATAAAAAATCAAATAAACAAATTAGTACATGATATGCATAAAAAAGGGTCTTGGCACATTTTATTCAATATTTCACTCTAAAAAAATGTTCATATTATTATGGTTTTAATTTTGGAAATTGTATTCATTAATTTTTGACCACCAAAGTCAAAGTTTATTTCTTCTACGGGCAGATTTGCAGGTAATTCTAAGGATCTCTCTTGAATGACCGAAGCAACACGTGAGATGTCAAGGCAAATTTTAGCCAATGTTTCTCCTATATTTGTAAATATTATTTTTCTCAAATATGGTAAAAGGTATAGTTATAATTCTTATAATTTCAGTTTAGAATTATAAGATTTCTAAACATTTATTTAGGGATGTTGGAATGATTTAGTCGCGACCACAAAAATTGAAGTGTTTATCCTCCTCGGAGTTGTAGGAAATGCGAAGAATCTCCCTCCAATAAACAAAGTAGTAGTAAACGTGAGATGTCGACAAAAAAAGTGTCCGGACACATTTGATTCAATATTTCTCTATGCAGTGCTCAATTCAAGAAGAACAACAGACGAATGCCATATACGAGTATGTCAGAGTTGTGTTTAGTGTAGGAATTGCATGCTTATGCCTAACGTTCGGATTCGATACGTGAGTGTTCGCATATATTGATTTGTATTTCCTGAGGCCGTCGATTGCCGTCGATTGCCTTTGCTTGCTTGTTGTCTCGATTTCATATCGGCTCGAGGACGGCCACTTTCGTAATAGCAGTTGTCGCTCATTTGCGAATTTTAACAAGGATGGCCTTTTTTGGACGAAAATTTTATTCGATATGACATATTGTATAGGAAAAAATTTTCGTGAAAGGAATAATTAATGTAAATGGCAGAAAAACATCTCATTTCTAAATACATAAATATACAAACTCAAATTCTATGTATCTAAAAATTCTTTGGGTTTGGAATTATCAATACGCACGGAAACCGATTCTTTAGTTCACAGTACTTTACTTAATTCTCTACCATTGTAATTAAATTTCTAAGTTATTTATAATAAAATTAAACATACGTTTCCTACACGGCACAAACGTTTCATTTTCATTATAATTATTTACGGGGGACGGGGTAAACTATTCTTCTGATTCAAGCGTTATTTATTAAATAAAGATTCATATTACGATGTAACCTTAAAATCTAATGACATTCCGATTTCCTGGTTGATGTCGGTACGCATACAACGACAGATCTCTATTCACTCGACACGACGTCTAATCACAATCGACCCGTATAGAAATGATTTCATTGAGATCGAATGACAAACAGTTGTCCCTTGCATTTGTACAGATTTACTCCCTTGGCGCGCCTAAAGAAGTTTTACTTTAAAAATCCTTCTAGTGCTATGCAGGGATCCATAAAAAATCATTCAGGATTTTACAGAATATAATAGATATATAAATCTAATTTGATCAAATAATAATAATAATTGTAATAAAATTTAAACTTAAAATTTTAACTTTATATAGAGTCTTGTAATTTATAGTAAATCTTATCTAATATTTACTATATTAGATGAAATATAAACTTTCTTGATTTACCAAAAGCAATAAACATCTATAATTATTCAAAGATTTAAATGCATGAATGCCTATTGACTTTGTATGATCGATTGCATTGGCTTAGGCGAAATTAGCAAGAATTTTCGCAAGAGATTGGTTTAATAAAAGGTCTCTTAATAAGAATAAATGTTCTTTATACTTTAATAAAAGTTGGCAATTGGCTAATTGGAAAAAATCAGATTTAGAAAAAAAAGAGGATATGAAAAGAAAATCAAGAATAAATTGAGGAAGATGGTGATGAAAATGATGATAAAATAAGAAGTAAAAAGAAAACCAAGATTAGAATTGGTCAGATATTACAAGAAAATAATTTTTGAAACGATAGCTCAATATATTTTTAAGAAATGTCATTCATAATTTATTTTTTTTTTTGTTTCTTAAGATTCAATTACAATCTGTTTTAAAAAATGCATAAAATATTTAGTAACTATGAATGACAATATGTTATGTTATGATTAAAATATAGTTAACCCATTGATATGTATGTTTGTGTTGATAAATAATTTAAAATGAGGCAATATTTGTATAATTGCAAAAGCACAAAATTTAATCAAATCCAACCCTTCCGGCAGTACATATACGCATGTATGATCTAAAAAATATAAAACGGTTAAAAATATTAATTTTCACATTTTCAAGATTAATATTACATAATTTTGAATAACTCCAACAACACAAAATGTTTTTTTGCAACGTATTTATTTTTTATTTATTTATTCATTTATTAACGTAAATATTTAGCACTGTATTTGCTATAAAATATCTCAACCTCAGTAATCACGACTTCGGTACATAATGTATATACTATATTATTTGTATAATTTCTGCGTTAGAGTTAAATTACTAATAAATTATTTCCAAGTTACACAATGTCCTTAATTAATATATTTGCAGTATCTGACAGTAACTACCTTATATTTTAGTTCATTAAATATGTTAAGAAATTGAAACGTGAAGTATTTACATGGACTTGTAATGCAGATTTTATTAACATAGAATTAATAGAATAAATATCAATCTATGGTTTACGTAATTTTATATATTTATATATTAGTTAAAAAGAATACAATTTGGAAAAAGAGATCATTATAGTAATTTCAGATCAACATGAAATAATGATTGTATTTTATATTTTTGAGAGCAATTGAAAAATATATGTAAAACTCGTTCTGATTTCTGATAACAAAAAATCCATATATTTTTTTAATAGAACTCTTTACTTATGAATCGTGATTCAATTCAATAATTTTTACAAGTTTAACAGGTGGATTTGTGGCAGGAATAGCTCAGTCAGTAACATGTCTGACTCAAACACCAGTGACATAAAATTTGAATTGTTGAGTTAAAATTAAAATAGAGTTTGAATAGTTAATTTAAAATTGCATAAAAATGCAAGTAAGAAGGAAACCAAAATTAAAATTGGAGAAAATCAGACTTAGAAGAAAATTTAAAGAACAAAAAAAAATTCATAGAAGATAGTATAGAGCATATTTGAAAGATGGTACAGAATATAAAAATGCAATGTTGTTGGTACCTATAAAAATGCAATGTTGGTATAAGTGGAGGCCAATAAATTAAAATTTTAAAAAGTCAGGTAGATTTGAAAGAAAGACAAAGTCCACCAGTTTCTTCAGCTAAAAATCGAATCCTTTATCCATTTATATGTTGAACAAGAATTTTCTTTTCTAAATTGCACCTCTGTATATAACATTACATACAGCCTGACATAGAGGCCAGGCTATGAGAAACGTCAAATATAAATAAATTGTGTTTTTTTTACATTCTTTATGGTAAAGCGAGATTCGCCGTGTTGAGCATGTTGCGACGGC